CAGGAGATGGAGCAGTATCAGCCCTCATTGTATAGCTTTTACTCTTTCTTCATAGTTTCTTGCAGGTAGCAAGCACATGCCTGGCTAGAAAGTCATGGGTTAGATCCACAAAAAGACTCGGGACACAAGTTCCACCTGAATCCTGCTTTAGGTGCCTGAATCCAAATTTGTCATCCACAGAATTACTGCTGAGCCGCTGTACAGTATTATAGATAACTAAGCATGGAGATGCCAGGTTGTTTTGTTCTTTTAAATAACAAAAGCTCTATATTCCCTGTATGTCCTGATAGCTTCAAATGGGAAGGACACTGTGAGCCCATCTGGAACATCGGGTTCTGCACAGCACTGTGAGGGGAGCCATTCCCAGCAGCTCAGTTCTCAGCCATGCTTTGATAACCACCTTTGCCTGATGGCTGTCACAGCCTATGTGGACTGTTCAACACTTCCTCTTCATGAGGCAGTTTTATTTTGCATTAAATCCTTTAAGTTAGGCAAGAGCAAGAATCACTATGATGATACCGCTTAGAAGTCAGTCCAGGGGTCGAGTGTAGAAGGGGACATGTCCATTTAATTCCTACCTAAATATTGTTTTCTGACATATTTAGGCTATCATCAGAGAGGTTTTCCTGCCCCTTGGATGACTGTCACTGATAAAAGGGTGGTAACAACATAAGAACCCTCATGAAAGTTTACTGTCTTCTAAAAGAAAGGATTTCCCAGTTGATTTTGAAAGAACACACTAAGAATTGGGCTATGTATGCCTTTGAGTGAATTTAGGCTTTTCTCCCTATTCTTGGACTGGAGACAGGTAAAAATGCTCCTAGGGATGTACCCCAGCTCAAACATCTTACTTAGCTAACAGGGAGCAGATGTGATGCTAAATAAGCAAGCTGGTGGCTATTTGTTTTAAACTGAGTCAGGGCAATGTGACAGTGTTAGAGCAGATAACAGGGTTTATTTCTGTGGTTTGAGCTGGGTCTTGGGAAGAAACCCAAGGTGATAATTTAAAAGACAAGATGATCTCTTTGCCTCTCTTTTCCTAGCTGTCCACCTTCTGCTCTTGTGAAGGAAATGTTGAGTAGTGCACAGAGACTGACCTTCTATGGATTCCTTATGGCACTTGCAAAGGATCAGGGGATCAATAGAGCTCTAGGTAAGACTCTTGAGTGGTACAGCTGTAGATTTTCAGTCATTCTGCATTGCTGGGCAATTTCCTCTGTAATTATGCCCCAGATTTTACACTGTCAGGAAGAGGGAGGGGAAGTTTTTAATCTTTTATTGATGGATTAAACTTTAAAACGTAACTGTGTCTTTGCTGTCTGCTTGAAGCTGTGGAGCTTCTTCAAGGATAAAAGTGGAAATGAAATGCTGCCCTAAGATAGCAGTGGTTTACCTCTTCAGTAGCTGATCATTTTAGCAGAACATTTTAACATTTGGCTATAAAGATTGGGCAGAGGAGGTCAGGGGACAAGTAAGGTGGTGGCTGCTGTTGACAGTACTGAAGTGAAGGTCCATCCTATGATTCAGCCCTTCATTCTCCCACAGATTTTAAGTGATTGCTCTCATCTACAAGAACAGGAGGCACACTAATGGGAAGACCTCTGCTGCCTGCTTGGCTCAAAGACTGAAAGCCCAATCTTTCCCAGCTCTTCCCCATCTTCCCTTAAGGCAGCGTGATCTAATGAGTATATTCATCTATGGCCTGCTAAAAATCTGGTGGTATCATAAAACAGAAAGTGCCACAAAATTCTGTACCAGACTGCTGTGGGAACCAGAAGGATTCCCAAGCAGCATCTCACTGCTTGTTTCCATGCTCTACTGGTCAGAGTTGTTCTAGAGCATGGAAGCAAAGTGTTGCATTGGCAAAAGACAGTATGTAATCCGTACACAGTTCAGACTCACAGTTCCATATTGCCCTGTATGCCTTGCTTGTGCTCTTCCTTCTCTTGCAAAGGGGAACAGAAATGCCTTTTGGTGTTTGACAGGGCTGTATCCAGGAGGTAAGTTTGAATGTGTGGAGGCCCAAACACTCATCTTCACTCATCTCCATTCAGCAAATAATCTAGCCAGTAAGGGCAGGGCTTCTTTATCTTTGGGTAGGAATCCTCTCCCTCTGCATGAGTATCTGCCAGTCCCTATATTACAAAACCCAACCTCAGTGAAAAGGTGTACCTTGCCTGAGGGTTGTTCTTTTGCACAGGTGTGTGTCATAATAGGGCAGAAATGTCCCCTCCCTGGCTGAGCCCCTTCTTACAGCAAACCATTTAAGCTGCTAATGCTCCTCTGGGGCAGGGCTGCTTACCCAGCAACGTGGAGATTATATATCAAAGGTGCATGAACACAGCCCTGCTATCCCTTCTGCAAACAGGCTTAGGAAGCAGTGTATTCACTGGGGAAGGTGATGCCTGGATTGCAGCAAGCAAAATCTTTTTGGCTTTTTTTTCCCTTTGCCTTATGAAATCCACTTCTAATTGAGTGCAAAGAAAACAGATGAGCAGAAAAAAACACATCCTGCCCACAGCTTCCATTGTGCCATCTACAAAGTGTGTGGGGTTTCACTGCCATTGATGTGGGGCCCGTCCCCTGGCCCTGTGCCATCTCCTGCTGAGGCCTCTCTCAGAGGAGGGGCAGCAGCCACAAGTCTGACAGGTGCTAGCATCTTGGCACAGGGAGGAGGATTCTTTTCCTGGTGTCTTTTAATCTCTCCTGAAGGGTGATTTCAATAGTTCTGGGTCTGTGGGGGGTCACAAGCTCCCTGGAGCCCTTCAGCAGGGGCAGTTTCAGGTGAAGGAACTTTCAGTCAGGCTGCCTGCTGTCTCTCTGGTCTCACAAAGCCACTGGTTCCCCTTGCGGAACATGGGTAGGGATTAGAGCAGCTCGTTCAGGCTGGAGTAGCACGGATGTGTTTGTCAGGCAGACTGGAATCCGCAGCCTAACTCCAGTGTCAGTGTTGATTTGTGAATCCTTTGAGGGTTATTTACTGACTTGTGTAATTCTTGTGCCCTGGAGACCTCGCTGTGCGTTCTGCAAATAGAGAAACAAGCTTTAGCTGTTTATTCTTTTACTAGAGCCCATGAAAGGGAGCAGGCTGGGGCACTTCACTAGACCTCCTGACACTCTGTGTTGCTGTGCCAGGCCTCCCTGTTCATTTGCAGGAGGGGAAAACCAGAACTGGAAGAAGTGGGAGTCAGTTCTGACCTAAACTGGTTCTGAGTTTTAGGCCCTCGCTGCTGTGGTTTTGATGACTGCTGCCAGCTTGCCTGTGTGAGGCAGGTCAATCTCCAGCCCATCCTTCAAGAGCAAGGTGCCAGGGCCAGAAACCAGGTTTGTGTCCCCAGAGGGAGTACAAAGCCCCTTGCCAAAGGTACTGAGTGACAAACAAGAGCATTCCTCACTGCACTGTTGATACAATTGACCAAGTGGGTTTTCTGTCCTGCTGTGCAGTGGCACATTTGTGTCATCTCTGTGCTGGCTGATCCCACCCTCCTGTACAAGGTGGAATTTGATACGGAATTAGGAAGGAGGGCTTTCCTAAGAGCCCCATCTTCCTTTCTGTGCTCTTCCTGAGGTGTCAGTGTCCTTTCAGAGAATGGCAAGGACAATTAATTGCTGTTCCAGTCCTACACCTTGTCCTTCCTCCTGAACAGGGTTTTGAATGTGCAAAGGAGCATGCTAAAAAAAGGTACATGATTACTGGCCCAGCCTTTCATGCTGTCACCTAGACAGCAAGCAACACTAGGGCACAGTCCATCACACTTACACCTATAGGCTTAATGTCTACCAGGGTCAGGCCTGACTTTCCTGAATTGCAAGGAAGGCAATAGTCTTTCATCTGTGGAATGTTTTGATCCCCAAGCTCAGTGCACCACGAGAAAGGCAGGTGGCACAGAAGTATGCATCTCCCTGGGTGGTACAGTGCCTGCTCCAGGCTGTGGCACAGACAACAACAGATCTATTGCTCTGATAGGATCTGGGACTGGTGACTATATAGGGCAATTAGCAGAGGCCTGAATTGACATTCTGTCATCTCCCTGACAGTCAGTACTCAGTAGTTTTGTGCAGTGAATGGAAACTGCCAATCCTGAGGGCTCTTCAAGTTCTCTGAGAGGTGAGACTACTGAGAGTGCCTCCCATTTAGTCTGAGCTCAGCCACAGCCTGTGTGAAGGACACAGAATATAGATCATCATTCCTTATCCGTCCATGATCCTCAATATTCAGTGTCCATTTCTCTAGTAGGTATAAGGAAGAGTCTTCTCTGTCTTGCAGGGCAGATTTTGGATGCTGCTATGACTTGAGCACTTTTCCTTATTGCCTAACTCTGCTCTGATACTTCCCTTGTTTTTTTCTCCAGGAGCTTTGCCAGATAAAGGAGACTTGTTTGTGGACCCTGCCATGGATCATGAACTTGAGAAATTGTAAGTGGAGTTGCCTAAAGCAGGAGGTAAAGCAACAGATGATTAAAATTAGCATGCTAAGGGAGACTTTAGTAAGGTACTGTCCCTATTCCCTTGCTCTACTATAAAACAGTAGAGGAGCTAACACAACAGCCTGAGCAGAGAAGGACTCTTTCTTTGGCATGCCTTGGTGCAGCTAACAAAGGCTTCAGAAATAGAGAGGAAAAGTGTGATCTAGAGGGGATCCGGAGGGATCTAGAAGCAGCAGCAGTCTCTAAGGAAAAGAGAAATTTTGTTTGGATAGTGAAAACCAGGAGTGCTGGAGGACACAGGCTCAGCCCAGAAGAAAGATCTGTTTAATCAGGAAGAAAGATCCCCGTGGAGAGTCTTGTACTGGTGCAAGGTGTTCCCCCTCAGTGCCATGAGCATCTTTCCATCCCTGCGCGAGCTGTGAACAAGTCCTCCCCCCAGGTTCACTCCAGAACTGCTACAGCGAGGGTTGGGATGACAAGTTATGCTGCCCAGCATTTGTCTTTTCTCTTTCAGGGTAGCTCAGGTTTCAGGGCTTTCCATCTCCGGCCCCACCAGCTCCGGTGGGGAGGCAGCCAATTTGCCTGTGCGTAACTCCCCCCGCATGAACTATCCCTGGAAACCTCTCCACCATCGGCGAAGAATGGATGCGGAGAGTGAAGGCTCCAACGAAGAAACAGACTCCTCTGAAAACTGAAGGTTGTGAGGGTGGGCACCGTTCCCATCTTGGCCTTCTCCAGAACCCACTGGAGCAACAGCACCTCCTCCCAGAGCATCTGCTCTGACGGTGGGTTCTGTCCACACCACCAGCGTGTGTGTGGCTGTGCCAGTCCCCTTTGCCAGGTCCACTCATCTCATCCCAGGAGGAACTCTGCCTTTCTCCTAGCTCCAAACTCATGCAGGAGCTGCTCCTTTGCAGAAGGTATTTCCAGCTGCAGGGTTATGCTCCCCTCTGCTGGCAGGCAACGCAAACCAGCGCCCGCTAGCTCTGCCTCTGCTGGGAGGCACCAGGGCTCTCTCTCCC